GTGCTTTTATTTCAAGTTGGCTGGTCCATCAGGTGAGTAAGCTACAGGTTGAGCTAGCAGAATGCATTAACTACTAACACAACCTCTCACTCATTTCAAGTGTTATTTCACACTGAAGCTGGGCTAACAAGAGAGGAGTTAACTCAAGTGGGGATAACTCAAATGAACTGCTGAAAATTCCAATTAGGTAAGATCACAATAACTGTAAGACCTACAAGCATTTGTTGTGAGGAATAAAAAGCTTAAGGTAGCATACAAGTTAAGAGTTATTTTTTTCTAATCTCAAGAAGACTGTGCTACACAGAATAATGACCTACCCCACTTTAACATTACAAGAAGCACTTAATATGCAAGGCAGAATTTTGGAATTTTGGCTTCAGGTAAATTTATAATTTTCCCAATCATTCCTACTCCAAAGAGATCCACCAGAGACGGCTCTTTGGGCAAGTCTAATCAAGGCACACCAATTTCCACAGGTAACAGTACAAAAGGGAATGATGTGGTTAGCATCACGCACAGCCGCGTACACCTCCACAGTTTAGCCGATCAGGTATCCATTATGATCCAGCTACATTAAATGCAAGGCAACTTTGGACATGAGTTGAGAGCAACTATCAGTGCATTCCTGAATCTCTCCTGTTAGTCTTAAAGTCAAAACTTACTAACACTAAGTGTGATACTACTCTGAAAAGTACCCTTTTGAAACTGGAGCTGCTAAAGAGATCTAATTGGCTTTGTTCAGAGTCATACTTAATTGCCTGGGAAAACAGGCCACTACTCACTTCTACTCTGACCACTACAGAGTCCATTCTCCCAGAATTGTGTTAGTTCCAGCCCACAAGATATTTCCAACATGACAATTATCATCACCATAAACATCATCAATATTATTATTCCTAACAACTCCACCATTCAGAACAAATAGAGTTAATGTTCACATATTAAAGCTGACATGCAAGAATACAAAACTAAGGAAATACTAATGGAGAACTGTTCTCCACTTAAAAATTCTCCCAATATACGAAGCATAGAAGCACAAAAAAGGGTCCTTAAGCTTCGGCACTTTCCAGATACTCCACTGTTCCCATCTGTTTAGGGTTTCAGAAGGTAGAGGGAGGGGTATTATTTGATAAAAGAATACTTGTTTGCTCTCTAGCAGAATACAATTATGTCTATTGAGTTCCAATGCTTCTCCAAAATCAGGGAAAAAACAGTTTCTACCTAGTTTCTACTGTAGTTAAAATTTCTAAGAAAAGTAAAGGCTAACACTTTTCTTGCAAGTTTGCATTATCTCTAGGTCAGGCGGAGCTTCAGCAATGAGGTCCAGAAGTGTACCAGAAGCTAGCTCACAGCGTCAAAATTTCACACACTGCTTCAGGAATATAAGAACTTTCATCCTGGAAAGTAAATGAACAATGGCCAGATATGCTTCAAGAAAATGACTACTGTATATTATTTATGACATATGCCAAAGAAGGTTCTTTGTGTGTATGGATCATAGAGATTCAACTATACAAACTTCTGACATAAGTCTTTATATATTGATAACATGCATCCTACAACAGTTATGTCGAAAGCAGTAAGATAGAATAGTCTTTTAAGATAAATATTTACCTCAGTATATGTTATCTTGCAGTAAGGTAGTTTTAAGTCTTTGCCACTGCCTCACTTCCCTGTCCTACACTTTAAATCAATTTGAATTTGTTTAGCAAATTCCATATGCACTACACTGGACTGTAAATGACAGATTTTATTAATTAAAGACAACAAATCACTGACAGAAATATATGTAACATAGGAAAAGACTAGGCATGGTTGCACTCTGAAAATGTCTTTGTAATTGTATCTCCTTTAGACAGGCATAATCAATTAGAAGTGGTCTGATTTTAACCAGTTGCAGGCTCATTACGTTGCATTCCACTTTGTGTTGATGAAAATCAGTTTCAGTCTGTGGCCTGGAACTCATATACAGCACTTCCTGGGGCCTCTTATATAAACACATCAAGAAACAGTTTTATTTGGATTTGTCCTTCCCCCTTTTCTTTTACTGAAACAACTTAAGAAATCAAGATTTCAGAAGAAAAAAAATTGGCTTATAACCAAAAATATGCTCACTGGTACAACATGTTTAAACTGTGAAGAATATTAAACTTCAGATAGCAATTACTGCTCACCATACTTCAGTGCAAAGCTTAAGATCATACCTTCTTAGCTGCTTGGGCTAGAATCTCATTAGGACAGTGCAGGCTGTATTTAGTATAACACAGCACTTTTTAATACATGAAGGCTGTTTGTCTTGAATGCCTTTTCAAAGAAAATGTAACAAAACAACTTCAAGTTTTTAAAAATACATTTCCCTTCTAAGTTTCTATGCCATCAAAATGTTGCCAACAATATAGTCATTATTAAACTATCATATGTGAATGTAATTAAGCAAGATCTTTCCAATAGAGTACACATGAACAGAAAGAAGATGGCATACATACACACACATAAAAATCAGTTCATTTAGAATCTAGTCATGTCCACAGCACAAAGTCCAAGAACGGGTGGGTCTCTCGAAGTTGGGAAATGGTTATGAAAGCTTAGCGTTCTATGCAGGTAAAAAGACAGGCCTCTCTCTACGTCAGGCCTATGAAAAGTCACTCTTTGGGGGAGAGGTTTCAGGGTTGTGGCAGGAGGGAGGTTTGTTAACAAAGATGGAATCTGAAAACCTTAGTTAGAAGCTTAGAGTGAGTCCCCAGGCACGTATGGATGAGACAGTTCAGTGGAGAACCCACAATCAGTGGTTGGTGACAGGTGAGACCCCATTAAGCAATCTTTGTAGACAAGCAGATTAGAGAGCAGGTTGCTACGGCCCCAGGAGAGATGCAAGTATTAGGTTCAGATCTTGCTGGAGAGTGGAATCTCTTGCTGGACAGAAAACCTTGGTTAGGCACTTGGGGAACTGCAATGTTCCTGGTTAGGAGACTGTTAATGGCCCTGACCTCTCAGAGAAAGGGGGTATTTCTCTGAGAGAGAGTGCATGACAGCACTATGGGTAGAAAAAGACATTGCCCAACGGAAGTGGATCAGATGTGGTACATGCCCCACCACAGCTAATCCATTTTACTGGGCAACACACACATGCACACTGCCCTTTATCTTGCCTTGGGCCCCCTACCTGATGCAGAACAATGGGCAATGTGTTCCTAGATCCCTAGCTGCTTCATGCTGGGTCCTATGCTGGCCTGTGCCTCATGAAGAGGGGCACTTGGGAAGTCAAAGTGATATGGCTGAAGACCAGAAGCCTGGCTGGTGTAATCTGCCCCTAATTCATTCCCTGGATGAGAAGCCCTGGGCCAGAAGGGACACATCTGAAAGGTAGGGAAGGATACTTGAGGGCATCAAGCTGTAAACCAGAACGTTTGCAGAGGCTGTCACGTGGTCCACTGCTTCTCATATGATCTCAGAACTGTGTCATTGACAGAGTTAAGAGAAAAGTCCAATGAAGAAAGTTCCATCAGCAGAGCCAATGGACCCAAAAATGGGAAAAGGGTCTCAGACAAGGACTGGTTCTGGCAGGAAAAGGTCTATCTTGAGCCAAGGCAATTAAAAAAGACTAAGGAATAGGAAGTACGTGCTGCACGCAGCACTGAGCATAAGAGGCCAGAAAATGTGCATCGTACAGATGAAAAAAAGCCAAAAAGATCACTGAATTTAGTATTTAAGGAACAGGAATGTACCAGCATGGAATGTATATGTGAGCAGGCATTCAGACAAGAACTGAAGCTACTCCATCTCTCAAAACAGATATTAAAGAGAAACTGCATGGACAAACTGCATAGTCGGGTGAGATACAGACAAACTTTTGGGTATGAAGTACCTTCCTCGGGTCGCTGAGGAAAAACAACACATCTAGGGCAAGGGAAAACTGTCTGGAAGAGTATTTCATACCCAAAAGCTTGTCAATCTTCATCACAATTCTACAGTTAGCCCAGTAAAAAATATCACTCACAAAAAGCTTTGCCCCTTTCACTTTTTCTGGACCATCACAGCTAGTACATGACTATCACCTATTAACCATTGTAACTCATTACAAAAAAGGTATCAATTCTTTTTCCAACAGGGGTTTTTGACAAAATTAGATGCAAAGGCAACGCCTTTCAGCCCTTGGTGAGAAGGAACATATTTCCCTACTCCTCTGCTTCCCTCCTTCCCAAAGACTAGGCCCTCAAAGTTGTCACAAGTATATATTCCTCTAGACACCTACATAAATCCACTGGTTTTTCAGAAATGGTCAGCATCCAGTAGTTCTAATGGATCTACTATATTCACTCAATTCCAAGATGAGGTTTGTTTCCCCATTCAAAATGAGAAAAACAAAGCCTCATCTTGGAATCAAGTGAAAACAAAGTACCTGCAGTCAGAAGAGGCAGCAGGAAACCATTTGGTAAAGCATAGGGCAGTGAGGGATCCAGTGCAAAGGCATGGAGCTGTATGGAACCCATGGTGGCACAAGACCCAGCACAAAAGCATGAGGTGGCACAAGAGACAGGGTGGTGCAGGACCCAGCACAGAGGCACAGGACCTGATGCACAGGTACAGGGGAGCACAGGACCCGGCATGAAGGCACCCTGCAATGTGGCACAGGGCAGTTGGGGGGCAGGTGGCAAGAGGGGTGCCAGTGGGGGGCAGGCAGCAGGGACAGGTGGTGGTGGAGGCAAGTGAAGAGGAGGGAAGGTGGCAGCAGGCTTGGGGTCAAGAGGCTTGGGTCAGACTGCCTGCCCTCCCTTGCCAATTGTTTCCCCATTGCTTGCCCCCACCATTGCTTTCCCTGCTGCCACAGTAGGGGGCTTAATATAAGATGATCCTCCAATAATTAGATTCCATACATGACAAATACTACCAATTTGTAATTCACGTAAATATGAGAACCAATGTATCTATGTCCTCTCCATGCTTAATAGAGTTCAGAAAATCTCTGCAGCTGACTTAGAAGTATATTATTTATGACTTGCCTTTTCTTCTAGATTTCCCCCTGTAATCAACCATCATGACCAAGATATCAAGATATGCAGCTCGGGTCACAAAACAAGGATTTTGCCTAGAAAACAAATCGTTGAAAGAATGTTAGTTAATAATGAAATTCGTGCATTGCTTAGGCTGCCATTCAAATACAAAGAAAAATTACTATATCAGAAATCAAAATAGCTTAAATCTATTAGGCTTAATTAGTACAGAGGACCCAGAGAGTACAATTCTGGTCCAGACCAAACCACTGCCATCATATTCCCCTCAGCACCAAATCCCTTATTTACACATTTCACATTTCTAAGTACAGGCAGTCCTTGACTTACAACGTTTTGAGTTACAATGTTTCGCACTTACACCGTTTATAAATTGACACCCTGTTTCAACTTTCTGATCTCAGTTTCGACTTTACAATGCTTGATCCAACACCACGCCAGCGAACAAGTTTGCTGTGCTGCCCATCTCCCTGGAGAGCATCTGTCTGAACTTCCTTGGACACTTTCTTTAAGAAAGCAGACAAGACCCCAGAAAAACCTGCAGCCAACACTCCTGAGAAGACTCCAGCCAAGAGCCCTTCAAAAAGTCCAACCAAGAGCCTTTCAAAAAGTCCAGGAAAGTCACCTCAAAGAAGTCCTTCCAAATCCATATGATTGCTATTTACAATACAAATACATTAATGTAGCTATATTACTCATCTATAATTGATTGAGTACAAAATTCTGGGTTATTTTTGGTAAAAACAGGGTATCAGGCCTTGGTTCAGGAACCAATCCCCCATTTATAACATTGTTTCCTATGGGAAAATTGTTTCCAAGTTACAGCATTTCGATTTAAGACAGTTTTCAGGAACCAATTGTGTCATAAGTCTGAGGACTGCCTGTACTTTATTTAGGAGACACACAAATTGATTTATCAGTTATGGCAACCAGTCTGTTTATTTTCCTTATTGTTAATGTATTTAATTAATAAACAGAACAAAATCAAGAGGCTATATATCCTCCCCAGCCCACCACAAAATACTGGAAGAAGGACACTTTGTGCCTGAAAGTCTATCTGACACTGCTCTTGAACAGAGGCATAATGAGGCAGCCAGGCACTTGGGGAAACAGCAATTTCTGGTTCCTGCCACCATCGTGCTGGTACAGCTGTGGCAACAGCAATGGAACTGCTTTTTTTCCATTCAAAACCAGTGCCCAAGGTGGCTGGTTGCCCCATTCAAGTTACACCACTGTTCCCGAAATGTACAGCTGGTTTAATCAATGATATCACACAAAAATGCCTTGCATCTTATCCATTTCCAGGACCATTGTGGCTATAACAACACTCCAACCTCCTTTCATGAGTTTGTCAAAAAACAGCCCACAACACCAGGGGCTGTTGCACCAAACTGCTGCACCTTTACTTAGACACAGCTCAGTTAGATTTAGACCCTGTTAGCATAAGATTTTAAATTGGGATTCTGGTTTAATTTTTCAAACCCCCCACATTTAATACTGGGGCCTTCCTTTTTATAGCATCAGTCAGCTGTAAACCATTTTCTGCACTGTAGCAAACCACAAGTAATTCAAATCATCTGGACAATTACAGAGTTAAGCGAGTCTTATTTCTTCACTTTTCTTTACGTTACTATCACTGCATGTTATAGCCAGAACGGCCTTCACTGGAGCATAACTTACAAAGTAAAACAGAAATGTGTTGCAATGCATACATAAATGGATCTAGTGAGTGTGGGGGGATGGGGGATAGCTTGTATTTAAAGAAAACCATGGGAGAGCCAAGCCAACACAAGCTTGAGATGTGACTAATACGCAGTGTTCTATATTTCTACTTTAGCTGACATTTGCTTTGCATGCTTATCTTTTAAGTTTGAAACTCATTCAAGAATTTGTTAATTAAAATATATTTCAAGAGAGATTCTCAGTTTCACAACTTCTCTAAAATTCTAGAAAAAAACAACACACTGGAACATTTTTGCAAGTTTACACAGATATACAAAACCCTGACATGCAAACGACAAGTTTGCCTTCATAACCTCAGTAAAAGTTTTGCAGCTGTATTTGACTATGGAGGAGTTAGTCCCTGATGGCAATGGAAAGACCAGCTGTTGTAACACATTCCGTGGAGAGGGAAACTCAGTTATGAATGTATATAACCTAACATGTTTACCTTGCTGGACAACAACTTTTTCATGCTGGATATATCATCCTTATGCACCACTCTATGCAACCATCTTTAAAAAAAAAAAAAATCCAACATATGAAAGAAACACAAACTCCTGGTAATTTTTTTCCTGGCCCTTTCTGCATGGGAAAGATTAGTTATGGGACAATGCAGAAAGAATCTACAGCCACTTTTGAATAATTAGCAGATCATGGTAAAAAGTGTTCTGCATTCTACCAGTATCACTATCCGCAGAATACACTGGGTATCAGGGGTGTGCGAAACAAGCTGTATTCAATTAGGATTCAGCCTGAACGGTGGACAGTGATTCGATTAGTTGATTCCGATCACTGTCCCGATTCAATTTGGCTGAATCCAAATCTGAAGATTCAACACTGATTCGGAGAACCAGTAATTCGGCCATAGACACAGCTTTAAATGTTATACCTTGAGGTACCAGGCGCAACTCATGAACACTGCTATGGTGGGGCAGATGGAGCATCCCACAGGAGCACGGGGGCCCTGCCTGACTGCCCCCTGGCTTGGCAATCGGCCTCGGGGGGGGAGGCTCAGGTTCCCCCCCAGACGCAGGAGACACCAGTCGCCAAGCCAGGGGGGCGTTAGAGGGCCCCCTGGCATGCTCCCTGGTGGACCCAGAAGTGGACTGGAAGTGCTTCTAGTCCACTTCCAGGTCTGCTGCCAAGCACGCTGGGGACTCCCCCCGCGCTCCCGTGGGCTGTTCCACCATCTCAGCATTCATGAGCCGCACCTTATACCTCGAGGTACATTGAAAAAAACATATAAAGCTGTGTCTATGGCCGAATCATCTAATCTCTCCGAACTGATTTGGCCACTGAAGCGGACTGAATCTCCGCTGAATCGAATCAGTGACCGAAGCTTTGCACAGCCCTAACTGGGTATTACTTCTAGTAATCTGAAAGACATATGAACATATAATTGATTTAGATTTTGTCATTTAAAGGGAGGTGGTCATAGTCCTTTTAAATGAAAAACAAATCCGTTTACCATCATATCAGTCCTGCTGCATTCTTTCCTTTCGGATTGTATTAAAGA